TCCACACACATACATACACTCGTTCACACGTACACGCGTGTACACCTGGCGCTTTGAGCATCATGGTGTTCTTTCCCTATTACATCACTTCCTGTCTTGAAGGCAACATAATTGGATATACGTGTGTCTCTTCATTAGATAAAAGGGGTCATAGCTGTTAGTGTGAACCAAACACATACTCTTTCAAAACAGTCAATCAAAAGAACAAGTATAAGCATAACCTGCCTTTAGATATTTTTTAAAAGCCACCCACGAATGATTCGCTACAATATTTGTGCACGGTCACTCACCCAATCAGGCCCGCTCCCAAGTCCGCAAGGGCCGTACAGACAATCGTAGAAAAAGTTGTCGTCGACATAATCTTGACCTGCGCTAGGTGTTGATGGATCTGGCATTTTCTCCTCTTTGGGAAACGGAGCCAGGGGCCCTTTCCCGATCCCGGGAAGGTTGTCGTGTGCCCCTGACAGTGACAGACTGTCCTGGACACTGGCAGGCGTACCGCTGTTGTCTTCTGAAAGGATGTGAGCAATGAGAGACGGTTTGCTTCTCGCTGTAACACCATCTCTGCTCTGTGACGTCACAATACCGAATGCTGAACTACCAGAATTGCCCAAACTCGGAGCTGTATTTATAATTGTCGCTGGATGCGAAGAAGGTACGGATAAGATCGTAGGCACGTGACTGGTTTTGAGCCTCTGGTTTTGAGTGCCAGTCTTCACGGCTGGTAACGTTTTAATAACAGTCTTAGACAATGTAGACAACGTTGTCTCCACATTCCTTTTCGTTCCACGGGCGAAATGGCCGCTTGCAAGATAATCAGACGCCCGAAGGATAACAGTTTGCTTATCATCTGCTTGGGAAGAACAAACCGGAGGGTAATTTGAAGTCGTCAACACCGGCTCCTTCTCATCACCTTTCCCAGAGCTGGGGGCTGACGTGTCGGTGATCAAAGTCGTAGACAATGACGCTTTGTTCTTTTTCCCTTCAGATACAGTATGCAGCAGTTTCTTGAGTTTCAATTGAACATTTTTTGTATCCTGATTTGACGAGGTTCTTACAGTTCTCAAGAAAGACGACGTTTGATTGGGTGTGTCTTTCTGGTCGTCATTCGGCAAAGACTTCACCGCAAAAGATTTGTTCTCCATGTCTTGGGCGAGAGACACACATTTGCAAACAAGATTTGCACGAAGTTACGCGAGATCACTGTGTAGTTGTCATCTGTTGAAAGCCCGTAGCACTCAAGTCTCGAGTACAAAATGCACGTATTGTACAAAACCCAGTAGAGTACGGAGTAAACCACGTGACTTTCCGCCCTCGTTGAGTTCTCCAAAATGTTCGTGGTCCTTCTGGTGAACGAACAAAACCTTGCTGTCCAGATCTGCTCTTTTTCAAATGACTGAAGCTTTCTGTCACGTGACCACTTTGTCAGCCGCACATTTACTGAAAGTGTAATGTGTTAAGGTAAAGAAATTTGTTTATAAAGCACATCTATTGTTAATCCAAGTGAGCCACAACCGCCCTGGGTCGTCGGCTATAGAAGGTAATATTCTCTTAAAAGTAGAGAATTGAAGCCTTTCAAACCAGTTGTCAACACAACACAGTTTCCCCACCCCTCCCACATTTTGCGAACACATAGCCCCATTCTGTTTTGCTCTGAGTGGAGCTCACATACATTATGTCAACAACCATCCCCAATGTAGTCACAGACATAGAGGACCATGCAGGTGGCTCATGACACGGACTTTCGTGTTTCGGCGGATGTTGTTCTTTACTTAAGCAGCCAATGTGAGTAATCAAACAGAGCCC